TCTCAAAAAAAAAAAAAAAAAAAGATGTATAGTGAATGAATGTAAATAAATAAATTTAATTTTAAATTTAAATAGATAAATAAATAAATAGATAAAAAGAAATGACTAGTCCAATTAGATGCACTTTCACTTTGGGGTGGAGTGAGCTTGTTCACCAAGTAATGAGCACAAAGGGCGTTTGGTGAGAGAGGCAGAGGGATCTAGTGAACTCCTTCTGACTGTTAGGGTTCTTTTCGTAGATTATTATAATCTATTCTTATGTATAAAGCAGTGCCCAAGTGATCTGGAAGAATTAAGGATTTGCTCTCTAGCAATAACTGATGGTGTGGAAATATCTGATCAAATAAGAAAAGTCACTTACTTTAAAAAAACTGTACTTAGCTAAATAACTTGATTGAATGTGTAAAAGAAATTAAGATTTAAAATTAATTAATTAATTAAAAAATAGTTCCAATAAATGTTAGAAAAGCAAAGGAAGAGATTTTATGTCCACGAGCACAAGAAACATTTTGTCAGATGAAGGAAAGGGGAAGAGACCAACTAACCAGCTTGGTTCTCAGGCTGGAACAGTCACGATGGAGAAGGAAAAAGCAAAAGACGTGCGCCCGCAGGCTGCAGGAGGGAGGGTCCTAGGAAGCAGAGCGAGTGAACGAGGAGCTGAAAAGAGGTTTCCCGGTGAAACGAAATCTCGCAGAGCAAGCAGAACCCTCTCAGAGATCTGGTGGCAGAGTTTGAAAAACACTCTCTTGTTGAGAACATCTGTTCTGTCTCTATTATTTTTTTAATAATCTTTTATTATTTATTTATGTGTTTGCTTAATTCCAAGGACACATGTACACACCAGAAAGAGACAGAGAGGGCAGCTCTCACGATGGCTTGGGTACACCACACCATACCCATCTCCACTTCAGTTTTGTCAGAATTTTGAGCATGCACAAACGTTTTTAAATCCACATGGATTCAAACCATGTGGGATCCAGCCTTCTCAACCACTAAGTCATAGGACAGGCCTATTCTCTATTATTCTTCAAAGGACATTTTTATAAAACTATAATTATGCCTTAAGATTTCAGCATTTCGTTTTCCATTCTTGCTGGCCACTTGAACTATTATCAATGACAATGTAACCAAGGGGGAAACGGACTCCGTGTGTGTGTGTGTGTGTGTGTGTGTGTGTGTGTGTGTGTGTGTGTATGTGTGTGCAGAAGTAGTACTCATGTAGAAGTATCCTTAATAAAGCTTCAGAAATCGGATTATAAAAACCAATCAATAATAATTCGACCACTGGAAAAAAATGTCCCATTGAGGTAGAAAAATGTTCGGGGGTCTGAAGGAGGCCGAGAGAAAGCTAGGCATGTCACCTGTAGAGATTTCGTGCCACATCATCCTCATTGGTCGCATACCCTTGGGGATCATCAGTAAAACTGAAGCCTGTGCCCACCTGCAGGAGAGATAAATAACCAGGTATAAACATAGAGAAACATGTACCTTAGAGACCTTCAGATATGGAGGATCTTCAAAACGTTATGGAAAACGTGTATTATGAAAAATATGCATGGATTTCAAGTTTTTAGCACCCAGACAAGTTTGTTCTTTTAATTCTGAAGTGCCTGTAGATCCCACACTGGAAGGTGACCTTATTCCAAAAGCCAAGCCCTCTGACTTCAGATTTTTGCCATCACCCTGCGAGCCTGTAACCCTCCTCACAAGAGGATGCTGAATTTCACCCGCTCCTCCCACCCCCAAAGCCCAAGCAAAACATCAATGTAAAGCTTTGCTCTGGGGCCTCTGCCAGATGTTAACTTAAGAAGAAAGAATTCATGTTTGTTGGCCTCAGCCCATGGAATCAAAGGATTCAGTTTTCTCCTCTCTGAAACCGGGTAGTAACTTGCTCTGTCCTGCCAAGAAGGACCCTCTAAGTTGGAAATAAAAATGTAATTGCTAACTATCATCTCCATTTTCTTTTCCTTATTTGTGAGAAATAGGACCATTAAGCCATTTCGTCTTCAGTTGATAAGGAGCTGTTAATGATTAAGAGCAGATCCAGGTGATGGAGAGCTGCTACTGCGACTAGACTCACATGAGAAAGGTCCTGGATTCCTATGTCAGGACCTCACTAAGCACACCCACACCCTCTATTTTGTTTTTGTTTTTTTTTTTTTTTGAGAGGTTTGTTTGTTTGTGTTTTGTTTTTTTGTTTTGTTTTGGCTATAGAGCACGTGTGCTCACCAGAAAAACAGAGAGACAGAAAGCCAGAAAGCAAGAAATCACTCCCTAGGGGGATGGCCAGGCCGCAATCCCTTCTCCTCCATTCTCCTCTTGGGATCTTAGGCATGCACACACATGCACCCGGCGCGAGTTTAAGCCACAGAGTCTGGGACTTGAACTGCGGCTGACTACATAGGAGTCCAGCAACATAGCCGCTATGCCAACTGCTGGTCCCCACACCCTCTATTTTTAATACATTCTTTTTTTAAAAAAAAAAAAAAACAGGGATTTTTGCTATAGGGTATGTGGACTTGCTGGAGGGACAGAGAGAGAGAGACAGAAAGCAAGAAATCACTCCTTGGGAGGATGGCCACATCACAGTCCGTTCTCCTCCATTCTCCTCAGGATTTGGGCTATACATGCACACATGCTTGGCTTGAGTTTTAGGCGACGGGATCTGGAACTTGAACCTCAGTCAACTACGTGAGAGCCCAGCAACATAACCATTACACCATCTGCTAGTCCCATATTTTTAATATTTTCTTAATAAAAAAATCAATAGTTCATAAAGTCATCTCTTACTTACTGGGTTATCAATGTACAGCATGGAAAGTGTGGTGGTCCATGGAAAGTCTCGGATGTTCACTATTAAAAGAGAGAAGAGGTCTCAGACCAAGTCATTGGTAAACAGTCCATCTCCGGCCTGGTCCTGGCCAGGAGCCCAACACACCGGCCCGTCCTCAGGAACTCACAGTCCCCTCTATACTGCCCCACGTGCTCACTGTGGGGAGCAGGCACCAGCACCTCAACCTTCTCTTCCCCTCTCCTTTACTTTTTCCTGACCCCAAGAGTTCCTATACCTCAGATGAAGCTTGCAAACTAAACCCCAGGCAACTGGTTCCTAAAGCAACATCCACCAACGCCCTGTGCAATAAGACCACATGGTCAATCCAATAAATCATTCTAAATGATCCTGTTGGATTCTCTTCCTCCCACCCCATCCTGAAGAGAACAACAACTGCCACAAAACTGGCACCTCCACTTTTGTCCTGAGTCACAAACTGGTTCACATTCCACATTCTGATCCGGGAAAAGGAAGCAAATCTCCCTGGAATAAAACAATGGGCTGCTGGGAAACCTGAGTGACAGCCCGACGGGGCTCTTCTCCTTCCGCTCTTCTACCTCAGACCCACCCACAGCATCTTGCTTCTGAGGTATCTGCTCGTGTATGGAACTGAACCATAAAATGGGGACTTTGCGTGCATAATTAGAGATACCATTCCACCCATTAGCCCCATGCAAAAGAGCTCTCCCAAATACTAATGAACACCAACTGTTCTCACGAAGCGAGAATGCCTGAGTCAGCAGCAGACTGGGCAAAAACAGCTTAGAACCTTTCACCCAAATTTCAAGGCAGAAAGCAGCCCAGTCAGGACACTCACCCGGAGGGTGGCTCCTCCTTCTGAGACCGACACTGCCAGAAAGTTGTGTTTTTATAATCTGGAATCATTAAACTACTCCTAGTGGTTTGGTGTTTACTTTAAATTAGTTTTGAAGCAGATATAAGGCTCAGAGGAAGGATTCTCTACAGGAAATACAGTCCAAAATACTTACGGGTCAGGTTCTTGGTGACAACATAAGGTCCATTTTCCACAAAGAGCCCAAACATGGATGAACCTCCTGGCCCGCCCTGGAGCCAGAGAACCACGGGGGCATCCATTGGTTGTATCTAGAGGGAGTAGAGAAACCAGTGACCACACAGAACACTCACATGGCTGCAGACTGCACTGAGTAAATTTACCCAATCCTCTTCTTTCACGGTCTTGACCAAACCCCATCAAGCCTTCCCAGAACCCAAAGACCATTCTCCATTGTGTACAAAGTCCTGGCCATCCCTGGAGGTTTTGAATTCATGTTTGCCTTGCATGCTGGTGTCTTCTTGATATACAGTTAAGTTCTTGGTCACCAACGGGCAGTAAACCCCTTGAATGCAGAAGCTTTTCTTGTGTATGCTGCTAGACACCTGGCACACTGCCTGGGGCATGGCTCTATTTTTTTTAGCTATTAAAGCTATAAGAGGACTCTTCCATTTGACCTGCGTATTCCCAGCAGAGGTGCAACAAAGAATCCATTCTCCTCAGTTGCAGTTTTCTCCGTAACTGAGAATCCAAACTGTCTTTCGGATAAGGGATCAGAACAATTTCATTCGACATAGGGGAAACTGAGGAGAAGTGGGCTGACCTGAAGTCATTTAGTCCCCAATGCAAAGAACAGGAGCAAAACACAAATAAGGTGTGGAGGTATTCAGGAGATACAGGAGAAATAAATTAGAGTCACTGGTAGGCTTGCTGGTAGGTTTGGGATGGTGAAACTTATCGTTGGCAGTAGTATTGATACCATAAGCTTTGATGACAGACTTTTCATTCTTTTCATCTAACCCATATTTACTGAGCACCTAGGATGGGCCAGATAGGCCCCATGCTAGGAGCTGGCACCTTGGACTGTGGACCTTGACTGGAACACAGTCAGGCAGAGGAAAACTACTCATTCTCTTGGAGCTTACGACTTCATGGGGGAATATTCACAGTAAGTCAGTCAAGAAAGAAAGCATGTGATGATTAAAGAGTGTGAAAAAGGAGCAGAATTGAGGATAAGACAGTCCCTAAGAGCCAAGGAGGAGGAGGCCTATTTCAGCACAGGTCACAGGGAGGTCAGGAACGTTGGCCTGAGACCTGAAGTCTGAGGAGAATCCAGGCAGGAGTAGAGCTACGGCAGGGAAAAGGCAAACCCCAACAAAATAAAGGGCAGGGTGTGAGGAGCAGTGAGTGAGGAGCTGCATGCCCCGTGGCGAATCCCGCAGAGCCACCTGTAAGGAGTTCTGCTTAGCCTGGCTCCTGGTAGGATGGACGGTTAGTCTTCGTGTGATGTCACGGCTCATTGGGGGTTCAGTCCACCGGACATAGCGAGCACAGATTCTGTTACTTCAGACAGAAAGACTCCTGCAGCCTCTCATGTGCCCTGGCTACATAGACAAACTACACCAGGTATAGGGGGATTTCTCCCCGTCTCCTCATCAGAGAAGTCTGACATCGCTCCTTCAGCAGCTTTGGGGAGGGCCAGAGGGCCTTGCAGAAGGAGGGATGCTCGTAAGAGCCATAGGCTGGGCGGCAGCCTTCCTATGAGGTGCTACACTAAACCCACTCTCAAGCATTAAGGAATTAAGTGACACAGGGGCCAGGTGGTGGGGCAGTGCTAACGCAACTGGACCTATGTGGGAACAGTCATGGGTTTGTATCCCGAGACCTGTCTGAGAATGCTGAACCCATGTGTGTCCATGACCCAGGCCAGCAGAGAACGGGGAGGACAGTGGCAGGGAGGCCCATTGGTGATGCCTCTCTTCCTCTGTCTTCCTCTCATGGAAGAAAGACAGAAATTTAAAATGAGAAATTAAGCGATATAACTAGAGCCCTTGGAGCAATACCTAATGTATGACAAAAGAGCAATAAATGTAAATGATTAGTCCAAGGAAACAGGGAGAATTGATAGAAGCCCAGAGTCAGACTGGGACAGCCAGTCAGCAGAGTCGCAGAGCTAAGTCCGCACCATACAATGGGTGAGTGTGTGAGCTGCACTGTATGCTCCTTGTGGGGCTTTGGGGAAGGTGCTATGCTCCCCGGGTCTTAGTTTCCATACCTGTAAGAAGGGGATAGTAATACTTGGTTGTCAGAAAAATCATAATGTATTTTTGCATAGTAAACAGAAAGACATCACGATGATCCAATAGTATCTATATATACAGTGTATGGTTGTGTGGGATTCGACAAATCACTTCCTGTGAGACCCAGTGAATAGCCTATAGTATGTGTTCAATGTTAGCTATTGCTGTAATAGGTAAACACAAGTTCAAAGGCAAACGATTCAATTAAGAGAGAATACGAAAGAGACTGTTGGTTTTTTTCCTTGCTCCTTTAGGCTCATGACTTCCCTGGCCAGTTTTCCACTAGTTAATTCACTAGGTTTTCACTACCAAATTCACTAGTCACTTGTCCATAAACAAGTCAAGAAAACAAGGGTCTTGCCTTGTAACTCAATGCAGGAGAAACTGGGATCAGAGACAAGCTTTCAAAGTTGCTGCAACAAAGCAGAGTGAGCCCTGGAATTGGAAACCAGCCAGGTTGTGATTCTGCTCGGCCACATAATAAATAACTGACCCTCTGTTGTGTCCAGCCCTCAGTTTCCTCATCTGACAAAGAGCAATAACGCCCACCTCATGGCTTGCTTGAAGGTTCTGATGAGAAAATGCACTTGAAATGATACTGTAAATTCTAACCTGGTAAATCAATAGAACCACCTCTGCTCCAACCTGCCTGAACCCAACTGCATGCAACTTGTTTGAAAAAGTGATTTCTATCTCCTCTCAGATCTTCTTTTTTGCTATGGACTAGCACTCTCCAAAACCACCTTCCACTTGCATTCACTCAGCAGGTAGAGAAGATTACATGTATTAGAAGTGGAAAGAGT